CTGAAATATATATATATACACATATACATATATACACCCACATATATATACAGTATATATACACATATATATATACACATATACACACACACACACGCATATATATACATACAGTGGGTACGGAAAGTATTCAGACCCCCTTAAATTTTTCACTCTTTGTTACCCTCTCTCTGAGAAAGCATCCGCACGCACGCACACGCACACTCAACTCCCCTCTCTCTCTCTCTCTCTCTCTCTCTCTCTGCGATGAAGGAGGAGGGACCTGCTCGTGTCGTGAGCAAGCTACGTGCTGCAGAATTCACATCTACCACCAAAAATCTCCCTCGACCATCCCATGAAGACGTATATCAAGAGCACGCACAGCTCACTACAGTCTCAAGCGATCTGGGGCGCGAATTTAGTTTCTGTTTTACGAGCATTCGTGAACTTACAGCCTGCGATGCTTGTGCTACCACGATTATTGATTTGTTAATAATGCGCACGGATTTATGCACATTTAAAGACGTGATTGATTTATTTATGGTCGGTTGTTAGAAGAAGGTAGAAGGTGCATTATATTGCGGAGGCGCTGAAATTGAGCTCTTTTCATCTGTTTGCGTTTGTGATCGAGCAGGAGGGAGGAGTGGCGGAGAAACGGCTGGTAAGTCCATAATACTACACCCACATGAGCAATAAATACATATATCATGTGGTGTTTGCACTGTCATAAACAGACATTCTTCCTTGGCAAGGTTCATTGCGCGAGTGCACTGATCAAAGCGCGACGCTTAAACTGAAGGTTAAAAGACATAAAGTGATGTCTTGTAACGTTAGACTCCGTTAGCCCGCTGGTTAGCGTGTCCGAATCGTGAATGAATCATTCATTTGAGTCGGATCTCTGTAATGTTTCGGTTGATCCGTTTCACAAGGCCGATTTTACGAATCGGACTGAATCGCTCCGTACGGTTCGTGATTCAACATCTCGCCGACTCATTGAGCAAGAACCGTTTCTTTCGAATATGTCCGATTCATAACCCGACATGCCTTAAAGAATTTGTATTGAACCAAGGATTTCACTGATAGGACGAAAACTATGAAAGTTACTCTAAAAACCGAATAACTTAAATATTACATATAAAATGTACTGGAAATATTTTACCAATTTGTTGACAGCTATATCAACAAGCAAGCCTTAGCTTTAATAACCATCATTTTATTTGGGCATGAATGAACTTTTCGATAAGGGAATTAGTAGTTTAATGTAAATGCAAATTATATTTGAATTCTAAATAAAATGTGGGTTACTATAAAACCCACGTATTACAATAATATAGTATTATTAGTAATAATAAAACGTAATAAAAACGTAATAAGCAGCAATATGTGCTCACACAAGATTTTATTAAAGCATGTAATATGCCTCAGCGGGATGTCAGGGACCCTGGGATGACGCAAAGACGTTATGACGTAAAAGAACGTTGAATCTTTTTAAAATGATTCTTTGAAACTAAATGTTCGAACGAATCGATTCGCAGAAATGAGTCGGAATTCCCTATTCTGTTTCAGATAGCAGAATGGCTAGTGAGGTAATACAAGTCAGAGTGTTAAATGTCGCTAGTAGGCATATAATGTTTATGTTAATTACAATTAGACATATATGCTTCTGCTTTTACAAGCAGAAAGCATTCATTTCTCTGTATGGACGGCAGAGACACCGCCTACTATCAGCCCAATACAAATATAACCAGAGTAATGTCACGTATACAGCAATACTTTAAGCGATTGAATGGAACTCAGCCGGATTTTGAGCAGTATAGACGCTTTTTTTTTGCTGTGTCTGCCACTGCGACAGGGTTTTTTGCTGAATGCTCGTTCATTCACGTGTGGTGGCAAACTTCTCGACGTCATTATGATAATAAAAGCAAGCGCGAGAGCAGAATGTTCGAGGCGCGTGCTGGCCTGACCCCAGCTGTTTTGCTTCTGTTGCACAACGTAAACACAATGGTAATCTGTGCACTTCATTATGAACTCCAGCGCTGGGGAATGTTTAGTTATGGTGCACCAAAACTTAATTCAAAGTTGCCTTTAGATATAATTCTTAAGCATACTTTAATTGGTGTATGCCTATCCAGTGTTAAACCTGGATTTTGGGTCTTAAGTTTTTTAAAACTTAGTTTAAGTAATGGTTTTCATGGAGGAGGGTATGTCCATGTTATTATTTGCCTAATTCGGTGACTAAGTAAAAGATGAATTTGTGCCAAAACACAATAGAGTTTCACTGACTGCTTTGTTGCCGTAGTTATGCACAATTATAGCATGCAATTATTTGCCCTTAACATTATTTGACCTCTAATGCCCTATCAGAACAGACCAACAAATAATTTTGGGTCTTGGCCTACCAGTTAAATACCACTGATTTAGATTCATTGACAAAATACTTTAAAAGTGCACAAGTAAACTTCATAATATAAAAAAATCCAAGCCACAGCATTCTTCTTAATTTGTCATGGCAAGAAAATGTATTTACTTTAATTGCGTCTCTCGCATCATTAAGCAGGCACGTCTGGTCTCCGGTGTAATACAACAAGCTTGTGCATGCTGTTTTTCAGTGTAGCAGCTTGAACGACATGTATGGCACGTAATAAGAACTAATCAGGAACTTGTTTGTGTGCACAATGTCCCGAGATGTCAGTTTGCCTTATGCCATCCTGGCTGCTTGGTATTAGACAATGAAAATAACAGCCCCCTAAGGTGTAGAGTTCAACAGTGTGACCTTATGTGGAGCAGTGCTCAGAAACTATAAACATTTGCCTACAGCTCACTGCTAAAAGCAGTTTATTCACGGGCAACTGACCCTGTTCGAACGAATCGATTCGCAGAAATGAGTCGGAATTCCCTATTCTGTTTCAGATAGCAGAATGGCTAGTGAGGTAATACAAGTCAGAGTGTTAAATGTCGCTAGTAGGCATATAATGTTTATGTTAATTACAATTAGACATATATGCTTCTGCTTTTACAAGCAGAAAGCATTCATTTCTCTGTATGGACGGCAGAGACACCGCCTACTATCAGCCCAATACAAATATAACCAGAGTAATGTAACGTATACAGCAATACTTTAAGCGATTGAATGGAACTCAGCCGGATTTTGAGCAGTATAGACGCATTTTATTTGCTGTGTCTGCCACTGCGACAGGGTTTTTTGCTGAATGCTCGTTCATTCACGTGTGGTGGCAAACTTCTCGACGTCATTATGATAATAAAAGCAAGCGCGAGAGCAGAATGTTCGAGGCGCGTGCTGGCCTGACCCCAGCTGTTTTGCTTCTGTTGCACAAAGTAAACACAATGGTAATCTGTGCACTTCATTATGAACTCCAGCGCTGGGGAATGTTTAGTTATGGTGCACCAAAACTTAATTCAAAGTTGCCTTTAGATATAATTCTTAAGCATACTTTAATTGGTGTATGCCTATCCAGTGTTAAACCTGGATTTTGGGTCTTAAGTTTTTTAAAACTTAGTTTAAGTAATGGTTTTCATGGAGGAGGGTATGTCCATGTTATTATTTGCCTAATTCGGTGACTAAGTAAAAGATGAATTTGTGCCAAAACACAATAGAGTTTCACTGACTGCTTTGTTGCCGTAGTTATGCACAATTATAGCATGCAATTATTTGCCCTTAACATTATTTGACCTCTAATGCCCTATCAGAACAGACCAACAAATAATTTTGGGTCTTGGCCTACCAGTTAAATACCACTGATTTAGATTCATTGACAAAATACTTTAAAAGTGCACAAGTAAACTTCATAATATAAAAAAATCCAAGCCACAGCATTCTTCTTAATTTGTCATGGCAAGAAAATGTATTTACTTTAATTGCGTCTCTCGCATCATTAAGCAGGCACGTCTGGTCTCCGGTGTAATACAACAAGCTTGTGCATGCTGTTTTTCAGTGTAGCAGCTTGAACGACATGTATGGCACGTAATAAGAACTAATCAGGAACTTGTTTGTGTGCACAATGTCCCAAGATGTCAGTTTGCCTTATGCCATCCTGGCTGCTTGGTATTAGACAATGAAAATAACAGCCCCCTAAGGTGTAGAGTTCAACAGTGTGACCTTATGTGGAGCAGTGCTCAGAAACTATAAACATTTGCCTACAGCTCACTGCTAAAAGCAGTTTATTCACGGGCAACTGACCCTCAAATCCATCTGTTTTCACTAGGCGTTTAGTTTATTTCAACATGCTGACATTTAAAACCAAAGTGGTCATTTCTGATGTTTATGCATTGTAATAATGTACAAAATGCTTGTATGATGCTGTATGCATTTGATTGACAAATCCAGCTTTTGCTAATTTAACTTTGAGGTTACTTAACATGCAAATGAGCTGTTGAACCTAGCCTGTGATTAAGCTGTGAATGATGCTTATGAACACATGCCAGATATGACTCATGGGCCATTTGTGATAAGTGTAGTTAACTCCAGTTATTCCTAATTATTATTTTTTTCTTCTTTTGATAAGACCGGAAATTGTTTTATTCAGGTAGACTATGGCCCTGTCCACACGAATGCGGTTATTTTTAAAACCGCAGCTTTTTCTACGCGGTTTGGCCACGGTTAAGATTATATCGCCACCTGTTGGTTTGGCATGCTCTTGACAGTGCTTCATAGCATGCGTTTTCATGTGGACGGAGATTTTTTTTTAAAACAGAAGAAGGAAAACCTCAGTTTATAAAAATACCAGTGTACGTGTGGACATGGCCTATATGTGGAAATGCATCCTAGGTAGTGAGGCAATTCATCATCAGCTGGATTTGCATGTTTGTTCCCCTCAATACTCTTTTGTAAAAAAAAAAAAAAAAAAGAATTTTAAAATTTTTTAAAGAAAAAACAATTATATTCAAGAATAATACGATATACCTATGATAAAACAGACTTGACATGTATATGTTGTAACGGATCAGCCGTTGTTGTGTTATTTCGTGAAATAGCATTAGGATTTAAAAAAAAAAAAAAGGATTATGTAAGTTTTTAAAGTGTAAAGATGTGAATTAGTCATCATGTTTTGCAGGCTCCTGAATTCTGAATCCTGCCTAAAATCCACAAAGATGCTATATCTGCCAGTGTAAGTCTTAATATACTGCTTTACAACATATTTGATAGCTGAGTTCAAGTTGTCTGGTCATTTAAAAGAATATTTCACTCAAAAATGAAAATTTGTTGAACATTTTCTCACCCTCAGATCATCCAAGATGTAGCTTTTGATGTAGAGTTAGTATTTTCAATAGAAGATTTTGAGAAATTTACCATCACATCACTTGCTCACCAGTGGATCCTCTGCAGTGAATGGGTGCCGTCAGAATGAGACTTCAAATAGCTGATAAAAACATCACAAAAATCCACATGACTTCAGTTAATGTCTTGTGATGTGAAAGGCTGCGTGTTTGTAAGAAACAAATCCATTGTTAAGACGTTTTAATGCAGGCTTCCTCCAGTGGAAAATCCTCTTACATCCGAATCCACTGACATTTGTTTAGAGCTTTAGTTTGTAGACAGTGCTTGATCTGTGTATATTTCTCTCCTCTAACAGAACAACGTTATCACTGGAGAAAGCTTGTTATGGATAGAGGACTTGTATTTTAGCCAGAAGTAACTCTTTGAAGTTAAAAATGTCTTAATTATGAATTTGTTTATTACAAACACACAGCTTTTCGCTTCACAAGACATGAATTGATGGACTGGATTTGTTGTGGATTATTGCGATGTTTTTTATCAGCTGTTTGGACTCTCATTCTGACGGCACCCATTCACTGCAGAGGATCCATTGGTGAGCAAGTGATGCAATGGTACATTTCCTTAAATCTGTTCAGATGAGGAAACAAACTCATCTACATCTTGAATGGCCTTAAGTTGAGTTAGTTTTCAGCAAATTTTAATTTTTGGGTGAAATATTCTATTAAAGTTAATTGATCAGCAAAATGCAGTTATAGAGATTCTCCATATATTATGAAAGAATTAAACTGTCCCTTGTATGATTGCTCGCTCAGCTGAATTCGCTCACCTTCATAATGTCTTGCATCAACAGCTTGTAAGTCTCTTTAATGAACAGTTGCTCTGATATTTCCAGTATCTGATGTTTTTATAGACTCATTGAAAGAAGAACACTCTGTGTTGTTTTAGAAACACTGATTCTCTAGTGAAAGATACTAGTGTAATACTTATACTGAATCAAAGGGCTATTGCGTGCATATTTGTGTACAGTATATACATGGCCACACGATGAACAGAAGATGAGAAATAAGACCAAAAGAAAGACCGGCAAAAATAAATACAGAGTTGTTTATGAGGGCCCTGTGGGGAATGTCGGCTGAAAGGGTAAATTAGGGGCAACAGCTGCTGGTGTCACTGCAACTTGTTTGTACCTTCTCATGTTACTGTTTAAGGCAGCTCACAAGACAGGACACTTGCCTTCTTATGTACATTTAGGATCATTAAACCACTCATAAAAGTGACAACAGATCTGTTCTCAGATCAGTATAACAAGCCAGCTTGCACACTCAGCACAGCAGAGCATTGGAGAGAATTATTGCGAGATAAGCTATTTGATAGCATGCACACTATTCATCATTACTCTGGACCTATAAATCATATCATCTCTTTTCCAGTGCTTAGTCTGCAGTGTGTATTCCTGTTCACCCAGAAATGAAAATTCTGTCGTTTGCTCACCCTCATGTTGTTCCAAACCCATATAACATTCTTGCTTTCATGGAACACAAAAAGACAACATTTCTTCTTTTGTGTTCCTTAATAGATAAAGTCATATGGGTTTGGCTTCTCTTCTCTGTCCTGTCTAATCCCTCATCTGCAGCTCTGCTTCTGCTTAAAATGGATTAATTAGCTGTGGGAGTAACACCATTGCCCTTAAACAGTGTATTAATCTCACTGCCCACACAAACTGAGACAAGACGATTTTTTAATGCTAATCTTTGATGATTTAGATGATGGTTTCATTGATACAAGGTTCCTTTCTGTGCTGTTATCACACACAAATTTAAAGGGGTCATATGATGCAATTTCAAGTTTTCCTTTCTCTTTGGAGTGTTATAAGCTGATTGTGCATAGATAAGATCCCTGAAGTTGCAAAGACTAAAGTCTCAAAACCAAAGAGATATTCTTTATCAAAGTTAAGACTCTGCCACGCCCCCCTAAAACGGCTCGTTCTAACACGCCCCCACATATCTACCTCACTATGTGGAAATATTTGCATAATGCGGCCCAAATGTGCACGCAAAGAAAGAAGGCGTGGTTTCAGTAACCGCAGTTAGTGTTGAAGCAGCATGTCAGGGAGATGCTGTGTGTTTCTAGGCGAAAGCAAAAGCACTTTATTTGGCCTTCCGAAAGTAGATGCATTTAGGAATCTTTAAGATTACTTACAACAGAGCAGCAATGCATTTTATGGACGACCGTTTCGTGAACCTAGGAGAGGAGGTAATTCTGACTTTGCTATGACAATCTGGCGCTTCTGAATCAGCTACTGTTTTGTTATTAGTTTAAGTATTTGCTATTGACTGTTCAAATGCGGAGTTTTGCACATTGTGTGAGTGTGAGTGTGAGAGATAGATAGATAGATAGATCACAGTGGAGTCAGCTGTCTTAACCGTGGCTTGTGTACTGCATCATTACTGTGTTTGTCACGCGACTCTGTTCCCCTTTCGTGCTCTGTCTTTACATTTATTTTGAAAGATGAAGCTCGCGATTATGGTAAGGGGTGTTACATTTCCGACGAGTGCTTGCGGTGTTCGTCCAATCACAATGCACTGGGTCAGCTGGCCAATCAGAGCAGACTGCGCTTGTCGGAAGGAGGGACTTTGTAGAAAACGAAGCGTTTGAGAGAGGCGGGGCATATAGGACCTACAATAATGTACAGTATTTGAAAAATAATGTGTTTTTTGAACATTAAAGCATGTCAACATATTCTGTTACACCAAATATACAAAATAATGATCTTTAAAAAAGCATCATATGACCCCTTTAAAGTCTGAATTAATGTGGTAAAGGTTTACTTTACATGGGTCAGAGATGCAATAAAAGATGTACAAGGTTTGCATTTGCTCAGGAAAAACCGACCATCCATCAGGACTATTTGCAGAACTATGACCTCTAGAATCCTTGTTTTTATATTATGTTTAATATATTTTTATATATATTTTTCGAATCTGTCAAAATGCATGTAACGTTTACAACTTACTATTTATTCATCAAACCTGTTTTATAGCCTTGACAGATAAGAAACACTACCGTTCACAGGTTTGGGTCGGTACATAAAAAAAGAAAAGACAATTTTTTGAAAGAAATCTCTTTTGCTGACCAAGGTTGAGCAAACAGAGTAAAACAGTAATATTGTCAGATATTATTACAGTTTAACATTTAAATGGTTTAGTTAAAATGTAATTTATTCCTGTGATGGCAAAGCTGAGTTTTCAGCATTCATTACTCCTGTCTTCAGTGTCTCATGATCCTTCAGAAATCATTCTGATATGCTGATTTGGTGCTCAAGAAACATTTCTTATTATTATCAATGTTGAAAACACTTGTGCTGCTTAATATTTTTGTAAAAAAAACTGTGATACATTTTTTTCAGGATTCTTTGATAAATAGAATGTTTATTTAATGAATAGAAAAATATTTATTAGAAATACAACTCTTCAGTTTTATAAATAAATAAATAAATATAAATAAAGTCAGTTTTGATGAATTGAATGTGTCCTTGCTGTTATAGAAGTAAAATATAAAAATCAAAGTATGAATGTCTTAAAAACAGTCTTACTTATTCCTGACTTTTAAACGGTTGTGTATATGCTTATATGTTGTAGCTTGTTGCATAAACAGTTGTGGCAAAGTTTTTTTTTTTTTTAACAATGTTCACATTAACAGGATTATGAAGCTGCAAAATTGTGTAGTGTTCTTAATATTTGTGAGTAAAATTTCAAGGTAATTTGATCAAAGTTAATCTTCACATCAAAATTAATCTTCACTTCAGTTTTCAAGCGTTTGTGAGTTTTAAAGCTGTGAGAGGATTTAGATTCCGCAAGTGTGAATTTTTCAAAGAAGCCCCATCCTTTAAGATCGACTAGGAGAGTAGTAGTGAAAGAGCAGATTTGACTCATTACACTGATAAGAAAAGTGTTTATTTATGCAGACAATGGCACAGTCATTGTCTGATACTATCTATTATTCTCTCAGCTGAGTTGAAACCTTGAAAGCAAGCTTTGTAATATCAGTTCATTTTGAGACATTCTAGGTTTTTTTTTTATTATTATTTTATATATATATTTTTTTTAATAATTGTGAGTGACTGCTACTGTAGACATGGTTCTGCAAGACTCACTAACCTGGCACCGACACTGTCAGAACCCACACCACTCCCCTTACGAAGCTGAAGGCCCTCTAGTTTTGTTGTAATATTAAGTTTCAAATGTGCAACTGGGATAGCCAGGGCTCAAGGCTCAGTGGAAATTTCCACTTCAGATTCAGGCAGCACACTCTAAAAAAATGCTGGGTTGTTTCAACCCAACTTTGGGTCATATATGGACTAACCCAGCTGTTGGGTTAATTTTTTTTATTACATTTTTAACCCAAAAGTTGGGTTAGTCCATATTTGACCCAAAATTGGGTTTAAAGTGCAAAATTTTTAGAGTGCAGCCTTTGTTCTGATACAGGGGCTCGATGCAAGTTGCTGAAAATTGGCTTGGGACTTTGTTGCGAAAGAGTGCAAACAGCTTTTTCCCGTAATAAAGAAAAATAGACAAAAAACGATAATGATAAAAAATAAAACTAAAAATCAATTTCTGGTAAAGCATGTTGCTGTTTTAAAGAGCTCCAGTGAATAGAAGGACATTGAGCAATTCAAACTTTTCCCAGCCTTTAATGGTCAGTAGACTATAAATTTTTTTTTAGGAACGCAGAATCATTGTGCATTGTGTAAAAATGTTTTGCATTCCAATGCCCCTGTTTACTGACAGGCATCAGGAATACTAATTATCCAAACTAATTTCCCTAATATAGCCCTATTGATTTTGTTTGGAGTCCAACCGACTGTAAAAAGGGAACTATCAACTAACAATG